TAACTTTCCCCAGATTTGTGATTATGCTTGAAGCTACATTACTGGACAACTCTGATTGCCAGTTGTTGAACTTGAGTGCAGTGTGTTCATGCATCAGAACTTCCAGAGCTAGGAGAGAAGGGGCTTGGTATTATTAAGAGCTTACCTTGTTCAAGACCCTAGGTCTCAGGCCACCATAATCCTTGGCAAGTTTTATCAACATACATGCCACCTCCCAAGTATGTGCTTTAAATTCTCCATCAGTGAATCATTTTATCCTCAACCAACATTTTGTGAGTTTGGCTTCATTTCTCCCCATTTGATGGATTAGGAAACCATGATTCTGAGAATTTAAGAGAACTTGTCCATGATCTCACAGCCTTTATATGGAGGACCCAGGAGTTGATGCAGATAAGCTGTCTGCAGAGGCATCTTAGAGGCTCCACACCTGAGGGAAGGGCCTAGGTGGATGGGAGGATATAGAGCAAGCTTGTGTCTCACATTGCCTCACAGCCTTGGTCTCCTACCAAGTCAGTGCTGGCTGTCAGGGGTGTTGATGCCTCCAAGGAACCCTGCAACCTGGGAGGGCACTGGACAAGGCTGGGGCATGCTCCCCTCACCATTAATGGTTAGGGACCCCTGTCCTCCTGGCCTGGCATTAGCTCCTCCTGGGTTGTGTGCTCATCCCTTCCTCCTATTCCTTCATACATGGGCCTATGCTGTGCTTCTCAAAATCAGGACCCTTCTTCAGAACCTCAGCAGGTTCAGCCACAGGTCTCCCTGTTGTTGTTGTTGTTGTTGTTGTTTGCTGTCGAGTCGGCCCCAACTCATAGCAACCCCTCCTTGGGTTTCCGAGGCAGTATCACTACGGAAGTAGGATTGCCCAACCTTCCTTCCGAGGAGTGGCTGGTGGGTTTGAACTGCCAGCCTTGTGGTGAGCAGTCAAGTGCTTTAGCCACTATGCTACCAGAGCTCCTATATAAGCCTGCATGTGAGTGTGAGTATATACACACAAACTCATGGTGGGGTGAGTACACCTACATACAGCAGTAGCCCTAATGACAGGTAAGTTCCCTTATCTCCTTGTCTGTGCACCAAGGCAAAACTGGCTTAACTAAAATGTACACAAATTGGAGAGCAGGGGTGGCAGACAGTACTTCATTTCTCAAACACCAACTCATACTTCTACCTGTGCTGTACTAGCCAGTTTAAGTATGGGGTGAGGTCACCTCCTGAATGTTAATGCATTCTGTTCTTTCTCTGTTTTCTATTTCACATTACAAGCTGGTAGCCAGGCCTAGAACTCTGCAGGAGGGAAACCAGAGGCTGGAAGTCAACAGCTCTCCCATCTGGAGCTTATTGCAAAAGAAATGCTACTGTCTTTGAATAACAAAGTGCGGAAGAGAGAGACGGAGACAGAGACTAAGAGACAAGAGACAGGAGAGTTCAGGAGTCAGAGCAACTGCACATTGCTCAAAGACAGCACCCCAGGGAGAGGAGGTGGCTGGACTCCAGAGAGGCGGTTGTATGGTGACCATGCCCAAGGACCCTGCCTTTTCTAAGACATCAGGGATGGAAAGGCTGGGCACTGGGTTACTAGGGGGAAGCCATGAGGACAGTTGACCAGCACCCAGGAGACTTCTGGATGCAGGACCCAACCCTGGAACTTCTTCCAGGACCTTCCTCATGAGTGGGACTCAGGAGCACACAGAATACATTCCTAAATGTCTTCAATTCTTTTATTAAATATGGATCTCTTGGGTGAACTACAAAACTTGCAAAAATTTCACAAACAACTTCAAAATGTACCCCCAGTTTGGGAGTGTATGTTCATTTCTGTGAATCAGGAATTTCCCTGTAAGAGTTTAAGAAACCCTGAATTCAGGGCACCCCAAGCAGCAGACCTGCCCACCCAGCCCCTGACTCTAGACTGAGGATGTAGAATCCACAGAGGCAGCAACAGGGCACCTCTCATGGTGCAGGTCACTAAACTGTGGTCAGAAAGGAGCTGGGTTCGGGAACTAAAAGTAGGACAGTTCCAGGGAATACAGCTTGGCAGTCTTCTCCCCATGTCCTGCTCTCTGTGCAGTCTAGGCTCTGCCCCTACCCTCTCCTTGTGTCTGTTTCATTCTCCTTCCACCCCACCCCATCTTTGCATTGGTTGTATTTGGCCCATAACCCCTAGTTCCTGTATTTTCTGCTCAGATGCCACAGAATCTCACTGGCTGCTCTCCACTGCGGTGTGACCAGGACAAAGGTTTTGCTTGCCCCAGGGTGGGCTAAGTGTTCCTGTCTGTTCCAATCAGCAGGGTCACATAACACAAACATGGCTGCTACTAGGGCCTCCCATGGGAGGTGGGAAGTCTTAGTAGGATGTGGCTGTGAGCTCACCAGGTGCCTCCAGAGTTGTCTTCAGCATACCCAGAGCCCGAGCCATCTCTCTATAAATGGCCCTTTTCACCCCTCTATCCTTCCTCCCACAGCTTTGTTCTCCTAATGCCACTAGGCATCTGAGTCCTATGAGTAAGCAGGAGCCGCTCCCTGTCTGCCTTCACTTGGCCTTGGCACCAGCCCCTTCTCAGGAGTTTCACACCTGCCTGCTGCCTACAACTACCACAGACTGGGCTGTGTTGGTTGGGAAAATAGGACTGTGGTGGTGGTGGTGGTGAGGAGGTTGAGTTTTAGTGCCTTATGTGTAGAAAATGGGGGTCTGGACTCAGTCACCAGAAAGGCCATTTGTCAGTGACACTGTCAGAAGCCCCTCTTTAAATAGGTTCTGGAAACAGTGGTCTTGTGAAAAGACTCCATGGCCTGGAGGAGAGTTAATGATTATAGGCAAGATATTCTCATCTGAAAGGTAAAAACTATTGTGGCTGCAAGAATTGGATGTGTTTATGCACATAATACACAGTTGCAGCTTCTATGCAGAGTTTTTATATGATGTTATTTGATACAATGCTCAGTCAGGACCTTACAATTCAGGTCAGCCTGCAAGATTGAAAGGGAGCTTTATAGACTCAGACTCTTCTTGGACAAATGAGGCACCCACCAGCCAGGGCTCCAAAGGAAGACTGGGCAATCTACTTCCATAGATAGACTGCTTTGGAAACCCAAGGAGGGGTCACTATGAGTCAGAATCAACTTGAAGCAATGAATTTGGTTTGGTGTAAGGTAAATCAGTGCTTACATCTGTCTGGGATGGTGGCCCATTCTCTTGATTCCTATGGGCTTCAGTGATATCCAAGATTGATGGAGCATCCAGCATTTCAGCTCTGGAGCTCAAATGTGGCCTGGGATTTTCAAACTCCCGAGATGCAATTCCTTATACCTAGAAATCCTGAACCTTCCTTCTATATCTCTCTGCCACCTTTAATGAGGGGCATTGCAGGAAAGCAAATTGTGGCTTAGAAACCAAATGACCCTGGGAGATGTTTACCAGCAGTCAGGAAACTGCAAAGGGGAACAGTGGCAGGAGGGGGTTGGGAGGGATCCTGACTTGGTTGGACCAGGTCTCTGGGGACTATCTCAGAAACTGGGTGTATGTTTGAGTTTAAAAAAACAAAACAAAACTCATTGCTGTCGAGTTGGTCCCAACTCATAGCCACCTCTCGTTGGGTTTCCCAGACAGTATCTCTACAGAGTACATTACTCAGTCTTCCTTCCAACTGGTGGGTTGGTGGGTTTGAACCGCCAGCCTTCTGGTTAGCAGTCAAATGCCTTAGGCACTATGTCTCCAGAGCTCTGAAAAAAAAAAATTCACTGCCGTTGAGTCAGACCTGACTCATAGCCACCCCTTCTTGGGTTACCAGGGCAGTTTCACTACAGAAGTAGATTGCCCAACTTCCCTTCCCAGGAGTGGCTGGTGGGTTTGAACAGCCAGCCTTCTGGTTAGCAGTCAAGTGCCTTAGGCACTACAGCACCAGAGCTCTAGGTGCCATCAAATTGATTTGGACTCATAGTGACCCCATATGACAAATAGAACTGCTCCATAGGGTTTTCTAATCTGTAATCTTCACAAAAGTAGATCACTTTCTCTTTCTCTCTCTGAGCTGCTAGTTGGTGGCTCAAACCACCAACCTTTCAGTTATCAGCTGAGGATTTGACCATTGGGCCACCAAAACCAAACACCTTCCCTCCCCCGACCCCCCCCTAAAAAAAAAAAAAAGCATTGCTGTGGAGTCAATTCCAACACATAGTCATCCACAGGACAGAGTAGATCCGCCCCCTATCATTTCCAAGGCTGTAAATCTTTACAGAAGCAGACTGCCACATTTTTCCCCCAGCAGAGTTACTGGTGGGTTCCAATAGTCAACGTTTATGTTAGCAGCCAAAAGCTTAACCTCTGTACTACCAGGGCTCCTTTTTCTAGAGATTGGTTGGAGTTAAACCTGCAGAATTGTAACCAGGGGATAGAGACTCCAAGAGGCTGATGAGTAACTCCTGCATTGATCCTCCTCCCTTCCCCCCACTTCCTGGGTGCTTCCTACCTTGGCCTTCTCAAGCATTAGGTGCCCGGGTGCCTCACTGAGGATGACATGACAGGAGAACAGTGTGATGTGGTGGAATGTTTTAGATGGTTCTCATAGCTCACAATTGTTTACTAACCCAATTTTAAAATTGATTACAAGGTCAACATTTGCAAAGTCAGGGAACAAATAGCTATTCCTGTTTTATATACATGAGATCTAGCTAAAACCACATGAAATCATGGCCATGGTTTAAGAAGTGGACTTTCAAAGGATGGGCTCAGAATTTCCAGTATGAGTAAGTGCCACACCTGAATGTTTTGGAGTGGGTTGTTGCACAAAGCAGGCCTGGGCTGGTGCTGGGTGGGGCATGAGAACCATAGGAGGAACCCAGAGCCAGGAGAGTCCAGGGGGCAGGCTGAAGTAAGGAGGGGTGGGTGGGGCTGCTTCTAGGTACAGAGAAGTTGCTCCTTTTTTTTTTTTTTTTTTTTGCAGTAAGTGCCCAGTCGTGTGGAGTCTCAAAGGAACTGTGAGACTGCGGTGTGTCCTCACCTCCCTGGAAAAGGTGGCTGTGAAGTGACAAGATGGCCTGGTGGAAAGCCTGGGTAAGTGCAGAAAAGTTGGGGGAAGGGTTCCTGGACAGTATGGCCAAGAGAGCAGACAGGGAGGTGGAAGTTTGGCTGAGACTGGCACAAACACTCCATGATGCCTGCCAGGATAAACCACTGATTACCCTCTCGGGAGGACAAACAGATACTTACTTTCCCAGCCCTTGAGGCACACACAGCAAAGGATAAGAGGTAGCCAGACAGATGGATGAATCCAATGGTGGGGGAAGTCTGGAGGAAGAGCCTTGAGGGGTCAAGCTCTTCAAGGAAAGGAGGGCTAGTTGTGCATGAGTTGCATGTGTGCACACATGTGGTAGGGGTGTGCACATGTGCAAGCATTTGAATCAACTAGATGTTCTGTGCAGAGGGATAGTACATGCAAAGGCACAAAAGAGTGGAGAGGGAAGTGGCTTATCTGGCTTGAGAGCCTCAGTTGGAAAGGAGAGATGGAAAGAAGTAGGCAAGGCCAGGTCCTAAAGGGCCCTTCATGGTAGGCTAAGGAACTTGGGCTTTATCTTAAGAGCAATAGGGGACAATTCAAGGATTTTGAGATGGAGAGTGACCTGGTTGAATAAACTGACCTGGGGGGACTTAGCAATGCCCATGTGGAAAAAACTTAAAAAAAAAAAAAAAAAAAAGACTAGACTTACTGGCCTGATTGAGACTGGTAGAACCCCCAAGACTATGCCCCTTAGACTTCCTTCAAGCCTGGAACTGAACTCACTCTCTTGGCTCAACTTTCAGCCAAATAATACATAGCCCATAAGGTCTGGTTGCATAGTGCCTAAGGCATTTGACTGCTAACCAGAAGGCTGGAGGTTCAAACTCACCAGCCACTCCTCGGAAGGAAAATTGGGCAATCTACTTCTGTAGTGATGTTGTTGTTATGTGCCGTCGAGTCGGCCCCGACTCATTGCGACCCCTCCTTGAGTTTCTGAGGCAGTAACACTATGGAAGTAGGTTTGCCCAACCTTCCTTCCGGGGAGTGGCTGGTGGGTTTGAACCACTAACCTTCTGGTTAGCAGTCAAGTGCTTTAGCCACTATGCTGTAGTGATACCACCTCAGAAATCCAAGGAGAGGCCACCATGAGTCAGATCTGACTCGACGGCAATGAGTTTGGTTTTTTGGTTTTGATGAGGTGAACAATAACACTAGGGGGGTACACACTCCTTAAAACAATCAATCATAGGAGATGAGAAGGGCAGCATTTGCCCAGAGAGAAAGCTTAGAAGGCAGGAAAAGATAGGAAAGAATGACAAAGAAAAATAGTAAATACAGGGAGGAAATGGGAAGAGTGCTGTTACATTGTTGAGATTGTAATCAGTGCCACACATTAAAATTTGTATGAATTGTTGAATAGAAAATCAGTTTTCTCTATAAACTTTCACCCAAATCACAATAAAACATACACACACATACACACACACCACCAGAACATATATATATATATATATATAT